AATACCAAATGACTTTTTTTAAAAGATGTTATGGTACAGATTAAAGTGTCTAGGTTGAAATCTAGTCAGTATGTTTCTATGTATTGCCTGCATGTATGTAAGTGCATCTGTATCTTCCAATGCCTGTGGGGATCAGAAGAAGGTGTCAGGTTCCCCTGGAACTCAAGTTACAGATGGTTGTTAACTACCATGTGGGTGCTGGGAATTAAACCTGAGTTTTCTGCAAGAGCAGCTAGTGCTCTTAACCACTGAGCCATATCTCCAGCCCACTATAATGTTCCTTTCTGTTCTTGAGCACAACAGAAGTTGTTAATATACTTTGGTAGACATTGGTTGTTGTTGTTTGGGTTTTTGCTGTTGTTTCATTTGTTTTTTGTTTGTTTGCTTGCTTGCTTGCTTCTGAGATAGGCTCAAAATGTAGCTCAGCCTGGTCTAGAACTCTTCACCCTCTTGCCTCAGCCTCCAGAGTGTTGAGATTACAAGAGTAAGCATCACACCCAGCTTTTGTAGACTTGTTTTAAACTTATGCTGATTCAATAACTTTAGTCAGACAAAAAACTATAGAATCTAGGCTTTGGAAGATTCTAGATTTGTAGTTTGTTATGTGTATGAAACATAACAAACATTATAATTAGCTAATTATAATGTTTTCTTCATTTTTTTTTGGTGGAAACTATCACCTGGGCTACTGTGGAAATTAAGTAACAAAGGAAGCAAGCTGTAAGCATTTGCTTCTACAGCTAAATCCCTGTTAGGTTGTACCTGTTGAAACTGTCAGTTTCTTTCACCTTTCTGTTTGTAAGTTCTTTTTCTTTGAACTCAGTATCTTTCCACCTTCTTTTGGAAGGGGGTGCAGTTGAAGAGTAGATAAGGGGCATAAATCAAAGAAGATAAATGAGGTAAAAAGTTTCGTGTGGTATCTCTTCCTCTTCAGCCAGTTAAATGCCTTAACTCTTTCCCTTCCTTTCCTTTGTCAGTCAACATGTACTTAGTAAGAGCTGAGGGTGTGGAGTACTGTGAGAGGCAGGTGAATATTTAATTTCACTTAGCAGTTATCCAAGCTTGTCATTCCAGTTTGAAGATGTAAACCCAATCCTATCTGAAAGAAGTAGAACTTCCTCATGTTAATCCAGCGTTAATGAATTTGTTAAATTAGTCCTTGCTGACACATACAAGAGAGTGCTTTCTTATACATAAGCGATTTATTTAATCCACATTTGACCTCAGGAACATTGAAGGGAAAGATGTTCTTTCAGCTGGAGTATCCAGTTAGATGAGTCTTTTCCCTGAGTGTGCTTCTTTAAAGGAAGAACATCTGGCATGAGCAAGAGTCACTATCTACTCATTTTAAACATACAGAGCCATGTTCTTTATCATCTAGAATTTCTTTCACTGCTCATGCATGAAAAAGAAACTAATGAAATCCTTTAAAGCTGTTCATCAAATACACTAAACTATATTTTTAATTATTAATGATGAACTTCATGTCAGAAAGTTTTTTAAAGTAGTTTTTAAGAAACATGCAATGTAAGGAGATGGCTCAGTGGATAAAGTGCTTACCATGTAAGCATGAGGACCCACATTTGGATCCTCAGAACCCATGTAAAAGCAAGGAAGACATAATGGCCTCCTGGAATCCCAACACTCAAGAGGCAGAAATGAGGATCCCTGGTGCAAGCTAACTAGCTATATTAACCAGATCTGGCAAGCTCTGAGTTCAACAAGACACCCTGCCTCAGTCAAGGAGAGTGACAAGAAGACACCTGAAGTCAGCTTCAGGCTTCACATACTGATGCATGGACATACACAAGTATGTGTATACCATACACATGTGAACACCTGTACACATGCAAAAAATACATGAAATGTTGGCCTTCTGATTTATGAAAGAGCACAAGAATGAAAATTACGGGTAGATGATTCAGAATGAAGCTAGTTTTGAAACGGACAGTACTTCCATAATGACCCACAGAGTCAGTCGCCTGTAGTTAAGCTACACATTTGGCTTTTTGCAGTGTACCACACAATATGGTAAAAGTAAAACTCCTGCTCAAGGGACTCTCAACTGTTCCCGTTGCAGAAATCTGATAGGAAGTGTTCCGTGGAGCCCATGTGAACCTGGCACTGTGTGCTCTTTGTCAGCTTCAGGAGGAGCAAGAGTGAGCAGAGCTGCTTTCTGTAGCAGCTGTCAATACTGGATGATGTCTCACACTGAGCACTGCTCATAAAAGGAATGATTCTGTGGGCTGGGTCAAGCCAAGTGCCGTGATTCACAGACCCGAGTTCTCCTGTGGTCTGACATAACATACTTGAGAAAAGCTACAAAACAGACTCTATGTTCCTTAGTCAGGTTTTAAATGACTATCTTTCTGTCAGATGAGCTTCTTCAGCTGGTTGACAGATGTGTTCCAGGAGCAAAGCTTTCCTTTTTATTCCAAGTACTCACTACACAGTGTAGAATAATGCAGAGTCCAAGGCTGAACGGATTTCTTTTGAAAACCAAAGAACCAAGTAAGGATCCTGACCTGAAGTCCATTCAGCTTGCACATGAGCTGGAGATGTTCTTAATGAAAAACTCAGCTCAGCACTGTAAACCATCCTAAATGTGTTTTAATATTGTAGCATAAAGCCCAAAGTCCTACTATATACATTGTGGTCACAATAAATTTATCCTAAAATGTTCTATAACATGTATATCTAGATACTAGCTGGTGGGAAAGCTCAGAGCACTCATAAAACTTTGTCCAGTTTTGAGCAGCATGACTTCTTGTTTTACCTTTAATGATAAAGTACTTGCCATATAAATAATGAGAAAAATAAATGAAGGACCTTGTGGAATGAGACTATAAAGTGATTACAAACGGAGGGACAACTCACTGAAGGTATAATATATTACTTTACAGTAGGTTACACATAGCCCCTTCTTTTCTTTTAGAGATATTAACAGATGCCTTCCTTATAAGTCATTGTAAAACTGCAGTACCCTAAGTACTGGCCTGGTCACCATTAAGTTTTAATAATAATAATAATAATAACAACAACAACAACAACAACAATAAAAATGAACTACTTATCTCAAATCTAGGAGGGTTGCATGTATAAAATCTCATAAAAATATTAATAGTTTAACAAAAAGTAGAGCTAGAAAATACTTTTTTATATATGTCATAGGCACAAAGTTTAATTTATAGCAAGGTTTTCTACTGTCCTGACTCTTGCAAGACTGAGAGCTGGATCTAAGCAAATGTCAGTGGAACTTTGTGTGTGGAATTAGATGTGATTACACCAGTATATTGGGGAATGAGGTAGGAGTGAGGGAGAGGGAAAGGGAAAAGGGAGAAAGAGAATTAGACAAAGACGGGGGGGGGGGGCAAATGGAAAATGGAAGTGGTTGGTTTTTCTTTTTATGTGTGTGGTACGTTCATTGAGTATGGGTGCACATATCTCTAAGCAGGCAAGCAGAGGCCAAAGTAAGACACTGGGTGTCTTCTTCTATCCTTCTCTGCCTTATTTCCTTGAGACAGGCTCTTCACTGAACCAGAAGCTTGCCACTTCAGCTAGGCTGGCTGGCCACCAAGCTTTCAGAATCCCCATCTCTACCCCACAGTGCTTGGGTTATAGGCACGTTACAGCCCTCTGAGATAGCTGTTAAATAGCAGGGTTTATGTTGTCAAAGCTTAGAAGCTGCTCTATACAATGCTCGTTGCTATGAATTTTCCTGTTATTAGTCTGCCTAGCCTAGAAGTCCAATGCTTGATGTTTGCTACACCTGCCTGTGATCATCATGGTGCTGGTTGACGGTAGTGAGAGTGAAGGCAGAGTCTCAGTTGACTAGAGTAATACACTGGGAAGCAGGAGCGCCAGCTCCTGTCTAGCTTTGGCTTTGTCTGTAATTTCACGATGTTTGTCATATTTTTTGAACACTCTATGCTCCAGCCACTCCATCTGTTAAACTGAGTTGGTAATAGCTGCCCTGGTCTATCTCACAGGAGTGTTGCATGGAAAATTAGATAAGTGTAAAAGTGCCTTAGAGGTAGAGCCACTCTATGAATAAAAATTGGTGTAATATAGCTACTGAAAATTGTGTTGTAGAGGCTAAACTGGTTCATCTCTGCTGGCTTTTGACTAGATAAGGCTTCATAATGGGTTCCTGTCAAATGAACCAAATTCATCTTATCAGTTCGTGACTGCATAGTATTTAGGGGGGAAATCTCTTATAAACATTTGTTACCTCTGATACAACCATGCATTAAAATCAGCTATAGCTAGGCATGGTGGCTCATACTTGCAATCCCAGCACTTGAGAGACTGAGGCAGGAGGATCATCAGTTTGAGGCCAGCCTAGGGCTACCTCTTCAGTTCCTGGCCAGCCTAGGCAACTGTCTCAGAGTGAGACCTTCCCTCAAAATTAAAAAAAAGAAAAAAAATTAGTCATGTTTAGGGAGGTGGACTTGCTAAGCATTGAGTATAAAACTTCAATTATGCAATATGAAAGGATGAATAATTCTTGAGATTACTGTAGAACATTATGCCTATATTTGATAGTACTGTACTGCATACTTTACCATCTTTTGAGGGGGACTCAGTCATTGCCAAATTGAGGGGTTTTTTAATTTTTAATTTTCCAGAGGGATGTCAAACTCCCCTCTTGGCTTAAAACACATGCTATTCTGGTTGCTTCTCCACTGTACCAGTCAGCACTCTCATCTCAGTCATGATCATGATGGAGACAGATTGACTTACTGTGGCTCAGTGAAACATGCCACTAAAATCCTGGAAAACCAGAGAGAGGGAAGAATGACTTCTCTAGAAGGAATCCCAAGTGCTGCTACCCTTCTCGCCTGTTCTCATCACACACAGCACGGTCTCTCTGTGCAAGTTGACAGCACCACTGTGCTGATCCCTAAAAAGAAAATTTAGTAGCTGACCAGACGTTGTGTAAAAGGCTAACGTTAGAAACTTTCATCTGTGCGTCAAGTTGATCTCTTTTCTTTTGTCAGGGGACCTTTCCTAGTGGCACTGGGGAAATCTTGGCACCCAGAAGAATTTAACTGTGCTCACTGCAAAAATACAATGGCCTATATTGGCTTTGTAGAAGAGAAGGGAGCACTGTATTGTGAGCTGTGCTATGAGAAATTCTTTGCTCCTGAATGTGGTCGGTGCCAAAGGAAGATCCTTGGGGTAAGTATTGGGAGACTTTTTTTTCCCCTTTTTTAGTGAGTCTTAAAGAGATGTAAATTTTTGTCATAAAACTTTTCCATCATTTTCACTTTTTATTTTCATTTTGCTTTATCAACCCTCTCTGCTTTCATTAGTATTTATTATTATAAAGCAAACTTAAACAGACTTCTGTAGAAGTATATCAGACTCATGGGGTTAGTTGTCTTTGGTTTTACCTTACTGAGTGCTGGCTTGTCTGGTGAAAGTCTAGCCACTGTGGGGGAAAAATAATTTACCGTGGTTGTGCTACCTCAGCAGGACCTGTTTGCTCAGGAGTGAAGAGGTCACCCAGGACCACACACATGAGCTCTCAGAACTGACACCTTCACTGTTTTAAATTAAATTCCGTAACTTTCATAGGAGCAGCCTTCCCCTACTAGTCAGGGTTCAAGTACAGGACACTAACCTCATGAAATATGTAAAATATGTAAAACATGAAGCTTAAAATGTATTTTACTTAAGAGCGCATTAGTGTTTAAAAATGTAACTTTGGTTGTGTACATTGATAGAAAAATAATTTCAGTCTACACTTTTTTGGGGAAAGTAAATAATTGAGGAATCAGATAATTAATAATGATGAGTAAATGAATGTTATGTTCTGGAATATCCAGTTTTCAATGACATATTAAGTGTCACGCACTTCTTATAGGTAACTAGTAGTGGGAATTTGATTTTAGAAGAAGCCCAGTTTCTTAGCTTCATATAAAATTTGGAGATGACTTTGCTGAATTCTGCCTAGTACACTCAATAGGAAAATATAGTAATGAAACTCTAATTCATACTAAGTGAAAGAAATATGAATTATTGGGTACATCCTTAAATAGATCCAAAATTTTGAAAATAAATTAAGATATAAATATGCTGCCTGAACTGTGTTTATGCTAATTTGTGCAGTATGCTGGGGATAAAGGAGTAGAATGGTTAGCTTTGCCTTCCCAAATAATGACAGATAATTAGTAGGGTAGGCAGCATACATTTTAGTGTATACATGCATTATGTGTGTTAAAGAATAAAACAAAGTCAGGAGCCTTAAAAGTACCTAGACCTTAGGAAGTGAACAGACAAATTTCTGTTATTAAGTATTCTTCAAGAATGACTTTTCATTGCTCCATCTCTCTTATTCTCCATCCAAAGAAACAGTTCTTGCAAAACCAACAACCCCAAGCCTCTTTTACTGATTAGAATCTCTTCCAAGTCTTGCATAGTTGGTGCATTTAGCTAGAAAGCCATTATGGACTAGGATCCTTGCTTTAGGGTTCAAGCTTTAGATAGTCAGTGGAGTGAGTGCATACAGCAGTCACAGCTGATTCCAAAAAGTTAAACAAGTGCTGAGCTGATTGGATTATACTGATTACATTATTGCTTCTATAATGCACTGAAGTATAGGTTTGTTTTAGTTTTAAAATGCTTCCCCCTCCTCCGTGACATTTTCAAGATAATACTATGAAAGTTTTTTAAGTTAATGTATCCTGACACCCTTTGAAAGAAAGCAGAATGTGTTGTAGCAATCACTTACGGAATACTGCCCTTATTCACTGCATGTATAAAGCTTAATACCAGTGGTCACTCTTTAAATGGGTTTATTGACTTATGTTTGTGAAAAGCACACATATTATACACATAGGTTTCAGCCACGTGTGAATCTACTGTTAAGTGTCTCTTGTTTCTTTGATGAAAAGCTCAGGGAAAAGATGCAGTGTGTATGTCTTCTGCATTAACTTGGTACAGCAGTGAGAGTAAGTATTGGTGTATTTATTATAGACTTTCTTTAAACCCTACCACCTTTCTGTAACAGGAAGTCATCAATGCTTTGAAAAAAACTTGGCATGTGTCCTGTTTTGTGTGTGTGGCCTGTGGAAAACCCATTCGTAATAATGTTTTCCATTTGGAGGATGGTGAGCCCTACTGTGAGACTGGTAAGAATAAGCCGTTAGCGACTTAAGAATGAAGCTAAAACATTATGTTGCTGTAAAATTGAGAGAAAATTTTAGGCCAACAAGTTTTCCTAATTGTTTTAGAAGCATTACATATTACTCAGAGTCTATAGCAAAAAAAAAAAAATAAAACTTGGTGAAGATAAACATTTCCAACTTCATTATGAATATTTAAAAGGTATAAGACTTACTTAGTAGGAAAAATATTATGCTTGAATCATTGTAGGCATAACTTCTACCAAAAAAAAAAAATGTGGCCTAAAGCCACCTCTCTGGTCTGATAGTGAATGCTGGGTGGTTATAAACATGAGAAATGGTTAGTGTTAGAATATGTTACTGTTTTGTTCTTTAAAGCCACAGCCTTGAAAATAAATGTGAACTCCTTTGCTACATTTATTGAATGGGATAGTAACCCTGGCTTGGATGACTTTATGGTAATTTTTAATGACGTAGGCTATAAGGTCCCGTCTACCTCACGTTTCTTAGTGCCTGCACAACAAGCTCCTCCTTTCCTCTGCTACAGCTGCAATTGAACTTTCTTAACATTTGCTTATATTGTCTTTACTCCAGTATTGCTTCTGTAATATATATTTCAAAATACAAAATACGTTTTCCCTTGTTTTACCTTTACCAGCTACCACTATGTTCTCACTGTGAGGTTTAATTTACTTTAGCATGAAATTCAAGTGTGGATCTAGAAGCGACCATCCCACCATGTGAAGTTCAAGAAGCCCTCAGCCTCCAGTCTGAAGCGGGCCCAGCATCACTCACCTCTTTGCTCACTCTTACTCTTCCCTTCCTCTTAGTGCCGCTGTTAGGAATGGCTTGTGTCTATTCCAGATTGCACATCAGGAAGCCGCAGACACTCCAGTGAAATGTCCCATGGGTTGTCAGCAGTATTAGTTGGCTGCAAGCTGCATACCTTATTCAGTCAGAATATCTCACATTTTACAGTTGCTTAATTTTTCTGAAGTGAAGCTTGCTTTTTCTTGTTTAGTTGGTTGACTGATTTGTGAGTTTTGGAAGCTTTATAAATCATTCTGAATAATCAAGAAGTCATAACATAAAACCCTAAAGCATTGCTTGCAGAGGGAAGAATAGCAGTAAAGATTAATTTAAATGTTACTTCTAGCCAACATGGTCTGATTTTCTTTTTCTTTAACCCCCAAAACAGCTCTTAGTGGACTTCGGCATCTCAGTGGATGATTCCACTGTCCACTATCCAAACACTTAGGGTTCTCTTTTCCTGTTCTTCCCAAGTTCAGAATAACAAGTAAACCCACTGACAAGTCTATATCAAGTGAATAATGGATAGGCCTCTCCTTGCATCTCCACCATCACCACTGTGCCCAGCATGTTCTCATTCTCGGTCTGCGCTCCCAAATAGCAGCTACAGAGAAATCGTAGCAGTGCTAACATCAGTCATATCATGCTCCTATCCATCAGTTGCTTCCATTCAAATGAGAATCATACCCGCTGCTAGCACTTGTTGGCCAGCCTCATCTCCTGCTCCTTTACATTCCGCCACTAGATTTGACCCATACCTGCCACTTTGCTATTTCTGAACACAGCTAAGATTTTTTTCCCCTTTCTCTAGGGCCTTTGTACTTACTATTTCTTCTAACTAGAATGTGATTCCTCCTTGTTCTTCAAGTTTTACCAGAGGATTTTACTAAGTCTCCAATATAATATAATAGATACTGCCAATTACTCCATTTCATAGCATTATTTTTTTGTTTCTTTGCGTTTATCACAATCTTAAATTATAAATGATAGCATCTTATTCCCAGTGAGAACTTAAGCCCCACAGAAGAGTACCCACACCTGTCTTTTCTGCCACTATACCTCTGCAGTGCTCAGACCACTGCCTGGCACAGCAGAGTCTGTGGGGTGTGTTGAACACATGGTGCTAAGGAGTATTAAGGATTGTTAGGAATGGTGCACCAAGCTGCATATTAAGAATCCTTTCCCTTTAGCTTCAAGCCATATGGATAGTCTCAAAGGCCAGAAGGTGAACCATGTCAGCACAGCAGTGCTGTTGTACAAAGAGAATAAAATGTGATAGCCATCTCATTTAGTGTAGAGAAACGTCAAAGCTGCTTTCTTCAGAAGGAAATCCTGTTCATATTTTAGAATTAATGTGTGTCGAATAATTATTGTTGTCTGGCTAAGGATTTCCAATATGAAGTCATAAACTTGAAGGGAAAATATAACAACAGAAATTGTGGCTAGCATTGTTGAGAGAGCCCAGCTAGGAATTCAGTCATGGCCCTTATTCATGAAAGTGTCCTGTAACTTCTCTTTGCATCCTAACCAAGTAAAATGTCCTATGAAATTTTCCAGGCTTGTTCTCCATTTGTATTGACTAGGCTCGTTATTAAAAATTATTAGACATTCTTTTGTAGTTCTTTTAAATATCCAAGTACACTGGTAACTACTCAGAATAGTGATTTCTGTTCTGGGTATCTAGGCATTTAAGCAGAAAAAAGTGTAACATGGAAAAATATAATAAAAAAACACTAAATGGTTCCCAAGGGAGACCTGAAACATGCTAAACATACATCTCAGACCAGAGATTAGGCCGTCTGCAGAGATTACCCTCCTCCCATCCAGTAGACTCTGGAGGCCCTGCTGCTCAGCCCCAGTGGATATTGGCCTCGTTCTTCCTCAGCAGTAACCCTCATGTCTCATTCAGTCTCCATTTGGTTCTGTTTTCTGTGTCCTGCCATTCAAAGTCCTCATGATGTTTCAATTACATCTCTCCTCTACTCTGATGCAGATTATTATGCCCTTTTTGGTACAATATGCCGTGGATGCGAATTTCCCATAGAAGCAGGTGACATGTTCCTGGAAGCTCTGGGCTACACCTGGCATGACACTTGCTTTGTGTGCTCCGTAAGTAAACTCAGCTTTCCTAACTGAAGTGTAAGTACTTAATGGAAATAACTGTTCTTACATTGTTTAGTTCTTCAAAACTAAAGAACAATATTTTATGATGATTTTAAAGGTAGGTTTGAAATTATTTGGCATATAATATGATCTTTACTACTCAGAGAAAATATAACTTTTAGTACATTAATGTCTATAAGAAAAGATATATATATATATTTAAAACAGTAAGAGTTCCTTTTTCTTAAACTCCTTTATTGTATATTTTCGGTTGTTTTTGGAAACATAAGATACTTCTTAAACAGCGAGAACAAAACAACTAAACAAAGTGAGGGGCCAGTGACATGTCAGCGGGTAAAAGGCCTCTGTTGCCAAATTTAACAACATGAGTTTGATCCCAGGGATCCGCACAGTGGATGGAGAGAAACAACTCGTCCAAGTTGCCCTCTGACTTCTACATACATGGATGCACACTTATACACAATAAATGTTAGTAAAAAGCTAACGTGAGCATTGGATGTGAACTAGATGCTGATTCTTTATCTTTATTCTGACTTACAGCCCATGCATCTTCTTTTCTTTTTGAAACTGCAATAAAGAGATGCAAAAAAATTCACCTATTTAACTGCTTTTGAAAAATTTATTTTTATTTTCTGTTTATTAGTGTTTTGCCCACATGTATGAATGTGCACCACATGCATGCCTGGTCAGAAGAGGGTGTCAGATGCCCTGGAACTGGAGTTACAGATGGTTAGCTGCTGTGTGGGTGCTGGGAACGGGACCTGGATCCTTTGTCTGCAGTGGCAGCAGTGCTCTTCACTACTGAGCCATCTTTAGCTCCCCACTTCATATTTTAATTCTTTTAGTTTTATTTATTTCCTATGTGTGCATGTGTGTCTTTGTGTGTGTGTGCGTGCATTTTGAGGCCAGAGGACAACTTCAGGTGTCACCCTCAAGAACACCTGCCACAGCCTCTGAAACAGAGTTTTTCATTGGCCTACAGCTCACCAATTAGACGACTGGCTGGCAGATGAACCCCAGGCATCTTCCTGTTTCCAGCCTCCCTGTGTTGGGATTACAAGCATGTGTACACCACCCACCACTGGGCCAGCATTTCTCCCTGAGTTCTGGGGATCAAACTTGAGTGCTTTACTGACTGAGCTACCCCCCAACAGCCCTTATTTTTATTTTTAATGATTAGAATAGGTCAAGAAATCAGCATTAACCTAAGATAATTCTTTTTATTTAGAAGGTAAATATCTGTAAAGATTGTGAAGGTGCTCCACTCTAGTGTTAGTTTTCTTTTTCTTTTCTTTTTTTTTTTTCTGGTTATTGCTGTTAGATTTGATACCTATTGTATGATGGGAAATAAATAATGGAAAAATCAAATTATTTTTCCAGGCAATGCTTTTGAGCTCTTTCTTCTCCCATTCATCTCTCAGACATCATGAAGTATAAAAAGCAGCAACTGTAGCAGATTTGCCCTCTCTCTTCTTGCACACATTGTGATTTCCAAGGTAGCAGGAAAAACAAGATGACAGAAGTGTGGGCAGCCAGACCACAAAACTGTCACAGGTAGAGCCTAGCCGAGGTTTTCACAATGAGAATTAAACCCATCAGTTCTTTCATGAATGAATGATTTCTTTCTAAAAGCTGGTTAAAAAACAACCTAGTGAGCTTGGAGAGATGGCTTAGCTGTTGAGTATATGTTGCTCTCGTCCAGGACCCACATTCAGTTCCCAACACTCATGTGGTGGCTCACAACCACCTATAACTCCAGCTGCAAAGAGACTCAACATCTCTAGCCTCCACAGGCACCTAAACTCACATAGACAGACACGTGCACACAAACATATATTTAAAAATAAAATAAATGTTTTTAAAATCCTATTGCTAGTGTATTATGAGACACACTGAAGTTGGGCTTGGTCATGCTTGGCAAAGCAGTCATTTGAGTTGTGTTTTCTTTTTGAATGCTTTCATTATATAAGAGGAAACATATTCAAAAGGTAGATAAACATTTGTTGAAAGAGAGTATATTTAATGTAACTTCTTTATGTATTGATTTTTTATCGGGACTCTTTCCTTCTCTGTAAAGAAAAGCAATTTTAAATCAGTGAACTAAATAAATTATAGTGCATTCCTGAAAAAGCCATTCTTTGCTTTTTCAAAGATTGCATGAAATGTCTTAGTAATCATGAGACATCAGGACATTTAGCACAACTGTCTAAAGAACTTGCAATATTATTCACTAGGGGATACTCACTTTCCTCTTTGGATATGACAATGTCAACATGAATTATTGATTGAAGTAATGATATTCTCTTAGATTATGCTTCTTTTTTCCAGGTATGCTGTGAAAGTTTGGAAGGTCAGACATTTTTCTCCAAGAAGGACAAGCCACTTTGCAAGAAACATGCTCATTCTGTGAATTTTTGAAAATCAACAGTTCCTAGGAAGATAAAAAATTTTAAGAAAAAAAGAGAAAAATTAAAATTACCATTTAATTTTTAGTCTTAATATTTATATGGAATTTCAAAAAATAATAGTCACCCTGACGGGATAAATTCCAACAGTTACAACTGAGTCTGTGGAAATGTTTGGCTTCAGAAAGTCAGAGACAGTTTGGCATTTATTATGACTTTTTCCTGTATTTTCTGCCCATAAAATAACCTTTATAAAAATCAATTTCCTGGTTGACTATTAAATTCATCATAGAATAAATTAGTAAATAATTAAATTTTAGAATTAGAAACTCTAGCCTCTACACTGAAATGATTATACTTTCCTTTTTAGTTATGAGAATCTGCAGAAGGCAATAAAAATGCCTTAAACTTTGTTAATAACCATAATTGTCTATTAAACCCGTTTATGTTTAAAATAGTAAATAGGAATTTAAACAGAATTTTATCAGTAGGAGGGATCTTTTTATTTTTAGCATGTGTACATGTTTTGGTCTTAACAATCCTTTCAGTAAGACAGGCCAGCAAAGGTTTTGATCAAAGTATGTCATGCCTATAAGGGACACTATGTTCTTCTCTTAAGCTCACCCAAAAGTTGTCGCTTATAGGGCTCAGGCTAGCCTCTGTTCAGACAGGGTGGGTGCTTCGCCACCGGATTACACTGCCGTGTTTCTCTTCTGATAATTCAGTGTCTTTGGACTGTAACAGTTTTGCCTCTTCCTTAGAGAGCGTAAGTAGAAAATAACAGGGTAGAACTGGGTAAAGAAAAGGATCATTCTTGAAAAATAAACAAGAATCCCTACCCCCTTTCAGATAAGGAGCTGATTAGATCATTTTCACATTCTGCCATTGACTTGAGATTTGAGAACAACTTGCCAAATAAGCCTTTTGGCTTGAGGATTGATAAGATGATAAGATCTGAGTTTGTGCTCTTATTTGTTTGAGGCTGTTCTGGGATTTTCTTTTCTTTC